GATTAGGTGTGCCTTAACAGGGTATTCAAGTTTCGAAATCTCTGACAAATTGTAGAATTTTGAAGTGGCTGTCACCGCCTTGTGTGCTTACTATGGGAGTAGTATTCCATTAAAAAGTGATTTTCAAAAATAATGTCCATTACTAGGTTTTGCTCTGGAGCAGGAGATGAACCTATGACGTCTAAAACATTTTATTGTTATTATTAAATTATAATGGCTAATATCTAAAGGTTGGTTTTTTTTATAACATCAAGTGACGGGACGTAATGGTAAGCTACACGCCTGTCCATAACAGTTACAGTGCCACTCAGAGCTTTAAATTGCAAAGATCTAAGGTGTACTACCACTGCGCACGTCCCCCTGAGACATGAGTTGACAAGTTCACCAGCACCCTTACCCTTCAAAACTGGAATACAGTAATGCTGACATTACTGCGTGGCGGCAGACATTTACCCTGGACGAACTCTTTCACAAGAAGCCTTACTGCTACTAAAAATCTAGTATTTACCTTTTAACGTATCTATTTCTTTGGCCCTTCTCGTCTGTTAAAATTACAAGAATTGTTATTACGGTAATAAAGTTGATCCTTACTCCTCTACTTCTTACATTGAGCAGAAAAATGAAGATATATTTTTGTGGAGTTGGGCAATTACGTTACTCCATTTTGTTTGGTACCGTTGCTAATCTGTGTTTATCTGTCGGACGTTAGCAGTTACACCCCCACAACAGGGGTAAAATCGTGATTTCCTGCCGCTATTGAATAATGTACTATTATTAGCAGTAGAGCTCCTTGTGACAGAGTTCGTCTAGGCAAGTACTACCACCTTACCTATTGCTGCCGCCAAACAGTAATGTCAGCATTACTGTGTTTCGGTTTTGAAGGTGAAATTACAGGCACATGGGACTTGTCAATTTATGTCTCTGGGTAATGGGCGCAGTGGTAGTGCCCCTCAGATCTTTGCAATTTAAAGTTCTGAGTGGCACTGTAACTGTTATGGACAGGCGTATCGCTTACCCCCAGGCGCACGACTTGTTCACATCACTTGAAGTTATAAGAATATAAAATACCAAGTAAGCATTCCCCACGTCGCCGGTCTCTTAACGACGACGGCCTACCTAGTTTTATTTACAAGGTTGAATTCTTTATTCTTTTTCTAAAAATATTTTTGTATTCTCTAGCGACTTTTTATAATATTTCCCTGAAACTCTGAAGGACCTTACTGTCGGTGTCAGAGTGTGCAGAATCTGTTTCCGTCTAGCTAAGCAACCTTCGATAAACAAAGCCAAAGGGTTCTTCCGGTGCTTCCCGACCCACCGTTTCCTGTTCCGTTTGCCCCCCTCCTCCACCCCCTGCGTCATCCCGGAACGATCCGGGATCCGTATTTCTGTTTCCTTTTTTTCTGAAGACGCTTTCAGTGGTAATGGAAAGTGTTGGGGGTTTATTACTTGTTTAGTTTATCTGTGCTTTTTATGAATGTTGGTACGTTTTAGTAGCTATTGACAAGTTAGGACGACCTGCTATTTGCTTCGTTTTAACATTGCAACTTAGTTCTTTAGGTGAACGATGTTTAACATTTAATTTTCATCAAAATATTTTTGTCATATGACGGTGCGTATGTTTCTATTACAGCCGATAACACCGAATGGAATTATAGGTGTGATTACGGAGAAAAGTTCGGACGACAGGTAACCGCTGGTAATGCGCATTTACAAACCCATTGTCTCTAAATCCATTACAGTTGCGTGTTATTAATTTAATTAAATAATTTACGAATTTTGTTAATTAAAACAAAGAATTGACATTGCATGATTATTAGTTGCATGGAAACATCGACACCTGATGCTTCGATATTATAGAATTAGAGTTTGTTGCAATGTAGAAAATGTAACGAATCACAGCCATGGCCAAACGTTTGTCTCATTACAAAATATCGTACACTTTAGCACGAGACTAGGGTCACTATTCTGAAATTTGAATAGTCCGGACGAAAAGCCTGTATTTGCAAGTAAGTCCGGAGACTTCACAAGTCTATTTGTACTTGCGTATTAAATATATTTGGCAAACAATCACCACATGTAGATAGCGTGTGTGACAAGGTAATTTTCCTTGTTTCTCTATTCGACAAATACAGTAAACACCAAACTCGCGTTACTATGCGCTGGTCGGTTTATTGACGCACATCAAAGGAGCAAAATAGGCAAATAAGCAAGTAAACCGTCCACACACTATGGTCATATTCATTATTTTAACTTCTTATTTGGCTCCGTGTGTCAGTGTTTGCATGTTTGTCTGTACATCTAATATTTTTCCAAGTACATCAAACATTCTATAGCGTATACAAGTAGTCACGTGACGTGCCGCTATCTCACTCTCATGCGGCAGCAGAGATAATCAAGCACACGGGCAACAAAGTTTTTGTCGTAAATTGGGCTTTACTACAAAATTGAGTGGTGCATATTTTACTTTTCTATTTTGAATGTTGTTCACACAGACAGAAGATCAAAAAAACCAGATGTGTCCGGACTAATTGGAACCCTGCATGTGCCCAAATTACAGCATTCTCCCTTTGCATGACTGATCATTGAGTAAGAGATAACTGCCATCTTTTGGGTTTCCCCGCCGCCAGTGTATAAATTTTTTGTGTAGCGGAAGGCGCTGCGTCATTGTAATAATGCATTGTCGTAATGTATTATTACGAGATCGCAGCACAGCGCGCGAATGTACGTGATTTGCAATTTTGATGGAAGAAACTTATTTACATAGGTTGATTCAGTATTTTACGTTCTTATGTTGTGGTAGAAATAACTCATTTTTGCCAAAAGGTATAGTAAAAGAAATATTATTTGCACCGCATAATGTTATCTCTTTGAACGACTTATTCTTTTTATATTATAATAGGGAAATAAAGCCATTAACACTTCTTTTATTTAAAACGTACATGGTTTAATGATATTGATTCATCATACGAGTCATGGGTGCGTTAAATGCTCATTCTAGATTCAACTTTTCAGTTATTTATTAACTCATCAGGTTCTATTTTTAAACTGTTAGGTACTTTGTAAAATACTAACTGTCGACCATTTTCTTACCAATTCAACAAAGTTAGTTCCGCATAAAGATTACTAAGTTTAGAATTAAGCACATGGCACTTGCAGAGCCATCAGACGTACTTGCTATGAGCATCTACCCGCTACTCTCAGACTTGAACCACTTGAGGAAACATGTAGGCGCCGGCTGAAAGACCTTTTCTTGAAAAATCCTTTATACTCTATAATTGTAAGTCAATGATACTCTGTAAATGAATTTATGGACCTAAAAATATAACGCTATTGAGTATATTCCATTTTATTTGAATTTTTATCACATTGACATACTTTTGTACATTTGTTATCAACTTATGACGATCCCTGACGGAGAACGATATTTAATATGTAATTTAATGACAACAATATTATTATTCATGAATTGTTAATTTTCTAATTGTTGTGTATTTTTCTTATAATTTTCATTTTTGTTTGACGATCTCAATATATTTTCTTATACTTTGACATCCCGTGAAGCTCGGAAACTCTACACTTGAAGTTGTTGACGATTATGTATACCTAGGACAAATTATCTAGTTAGGTAGGTCCAACTTCGAGGAAGAGGTCAATCGTCGAATCCAACTCGGCTGGTCAGCATTTAGAAGTTACGCTATATCTTCTTGTCCAAATTACCAGTGTCTCAATACAAAAGTTGTGACTTACGGCACTGAGACGTGGTCGCTCACTACGGGCCTCATAAGAAGGCTCAAGGTCACTCAAAGGGCAATTAAAAGGGCTATGCTCGGAGTTTTATTGCGAAATCGAATCAGTAATGAGGATATCCGCAAGGGAACCAGAGTAACCGACATAGCCCTAAGAATTGCAAAACTTAAGTAGCAAAATTGTTTATTTGTTTTATTTATTCATTCTACAGGCAACTATGGCCCATATAAGTTTATAAAACACTAACAACCTCGCAAGACTACATTACTAACATTTATGAACAATGATTTTTGTTCTATGACTTCTAATAGTCAGATTTTACTTTCGTAAAAGAAAACTGAACGGTGATAACCACACAACAATAAATACACTAGAAGTGGTTAGTTAGCGTCTGACGCGTGCCAATTATAGGTCTCGAAAGACCTACTTGAACTCAGTCCGCCATTTTCGCTTTGTTTGGTATGGTTTTGTCATTCTTTCGTGCAAATTCTTTAATATCTTTGAAATATGCCTTATTGTGCTGTTTCTGAGTGAAAAATGGTAGCCGCACCAAAAATATTACCGATGGTGGTATTTCATATCGTCGGGAAGACTTATTTTAATAAATTTTCAATTTCCTGATGATCTATTCGTTCAGATGTTAATCGTTCGTTGTAGCAACTACTGGCAGCAAGATGGCCGCATGTTAAATAAAATTGTAAAATAATAATAATAATAATATAATAATATTCTTTATTGCACAAATAAATTACATGGATAATTACATATTAGAAAGGTTGTACACAAAGGTGAGCTTATCTCTAGAAGAGATCTCTTCCAGCCAACCCTAGCCGTGGTGAATAAAGCAAGTCAGCGGGATGAAATTGTACAATAAATTTAAGAAATATACCTCTAAATACAAATAAATATTAATGAAGACAATATAAATAAAAATATATATACCTACATAAACTTTACATAAATAAATATATCCATATATATATATATATATATATATATATATATATTTATACTAAAATCTAAACAAATTATTATTAGTCTGTATTTATTTCACCGATTAACTTCTGAGTGTAAAAGTAAGTGCTCATATAATTTGCGTTTGAATATTGCAACCGATGGACTGTCACGAATACTAGCTGGTAATTTATTCCACATACGAGCTGCACTGACAGTAAAAGAATAGTGGAAAAAATTAGAGTTGGACTGGGGATGTTCAAGAGTTCTAGTGTCACAAGTTCGTTTTGGGCGGGAAGTGGGGCATAAGAGAGTAAAGCGGGAACGTAGGTAGTGAGGAAGCTGGGGGCAGTGTAAGATTTTATAAAGTAGACAAAGGATGTGCAAGTCCCTGCGAAGTCGGATTGGGAGCCATTTTAATTTGGATCGAAACTCAGAGATATGGTCATACTTACGTAGACCAAATATGAAGCGTATAGCCAGATTCTGCAGGCGTTCCAGTTTGTTAAGCAACTCTTCATTGGCATCCAGATAACAAATATCGGCATAGTCGAGAACAGGTAGCAGTAAAGTCTGAGCGAGCATAATTCTGGTATCGAACGGCAGGAAAAATTGAAGCCGCTTCAGTGAAATATAAGTAAAGTGCATACGCCGACTAACTTCATTTACCTGCGGTCTCCAAGACAATGTACGGTCAATTATGAGGCCAAGATTCTTTGTTTTATCGGTATATGCTAGGTTCACTCCGTCATACGAAACTTTGGGGAGATTATCAAAGTCCAACCTAGAATACAATCTATTGCTACCTACAATAATTGCTTGTGACTTCATAGGGTTTACAAGTAATCCGAATGCGTCCGCCCAGGACTTCACCACCAGTAGATCCTTATTAACTGCTTCAATGACAGAGTCGGAATTGGCCACATCAAAATGTCGGTAAATTTGCAGGTCATCTGCATATAAATGGAATGGAGAAGTAATCAATTTTGAAAGCTCATTTATGAACAGAGAGAAAAGAAGTGGTGAGAGTACGCCACCCTGTGGCACACCTGAGGTCAGAGGAGACCACTCAGAAAAAGAGTCATCATTCTTGATTCTTTGATGGCGATTTTGAAGGTAATCCGAGAACCAGGCGATAGCAGCAGGGGAGATGTTGACGGAGTGGAGAATGGCAAGAAGGATGTCATGATCGACAGAGTTGAAAGCACTGCTAAAGTCCAGTAAAACAATAACGGTGAACAATCGATTATCCATTGCATGGCGAATATCATCAGTGACATTTAGCAAAGCAGTAACTGTGCTATGACCAGGGCGGAAACCGGATTGATAGGGACTTATTAGATTGTTACAAGAGACATATGAAAAAAGTTGTTTTTGAACAGTGCTTTCAAGGACCTTGGACAGGAATGGAAGGATGGATATAGGACGGAAATGGGATAAAGCCGTAGGAGTAGTGGATTTAGGGATGGGAATGACGTGAGCTAATTTCCAGTTACTAGGAAAGACGCTATGTGTAAGACTACAATTCAATATGTGAGAGATAATGGGAGCAACGTCATCCAGGATAGGTATAAGCATATCACGGCATATGCCATCTTCCCCTACGGCTTTGGAAGTTATAGATAGGACATTCTTTTTAACCTCTGCCTCAGTGACTTCACGAAAAGAAAAAGGCTCCCAATCAGGACTGGTAATAGTGCCCAGAGAGGCAAGTGTCGCTACTTTTACAGAGCTGGCTACTACAAGTGGTGGGTTAGTAAAATGTTTATTAAGTAAATTGAGGTCAGGAATGTTAACGGTGGAATCACAGTCTTTACCCACACCAAGCGATCTTAAGAATTTCCAGGTCTGACCCGTAGACAAGCCTTCAATTGAAGAATGGATGTAACGCCGTTTGGCATCCCGACACAATCTGTTGCAAAGATTGCGCAGCCTTTTATACGCGAGCAGATTATCATCACTGGGATACCTCTTTAAGATTGACTTGGCCTTATCTCGTCGTTGCATGCATTTCTTTATGGTTGGCGTAAGCCAAGGCGCAGGCAAATGCTTGACCCGCACAGGTCTGAGAGGGGCATGAGTGTTATACAGCGTTAATAACAGATAGTTGAAAATTTTAATCTTTTCATTGACCGTGCAAGCTTCAAATAATGAAGACCAGTCAATCCTAGAGAAGTCGTCCCTCAAGCGATCTACACAGATGGCACGAAAATTACGCTGTAACCTGACTTTGGTTTTGGGTTTAGGGGTGCGCACTCGGTATGACAGATAAATAAGGTCATGGTAGGAGAATGGGGCAGTGGTTTGTCCATGTAAAAGTACAGAGTTAGGTTTCGAGACTATCTGTACGTCTAAAAGAGATGGTTGACAGTTAGGTGAATGATGGGTAGCAGTGAGTGGGAGCAAAACAAAGTTGACCGAGTTTACAAGGCAGTTAAGGCGGGCAGATCGAACGTTATCCTTTAATAAACATGTATTAAGATCACCCATCAAAATTACATGATCATAAGAAGCACTCAATGATTCAAGTGTTGTCTCAAATGAGTCGAAATAATTTACATTAACACTAGGGCTGTACGCCACTCCCACTAAAATATTGGTATGGTGTAAGGTAACCCTCAGAAACAAATACTCCAACAACCCAGTGGAAGTGTTAGGAGACTGACTGATGATAGAGCATGGTATGTGGTCTTTAATGTAAATGCACACACCACCACCCCCAGTCCCAACCCTATCGTTTCTATATAATTTGTACCCAGAGAGTGTAAAAAGTGGGGACGGTAATGCCGGTTTGAGCCAAGATTCGGAAACCAAGATCACATCCACTATTCTATTATTAAATGTCAAGTTTAGATCAGAAATGTGTGCAGGAACACTCTGTGCATTAATATGCACCACATTGAGAAATTTAGATTTTGTGTGAAATATTGACTGCAGCTTAATATCTAGCGAATGGGTATCGGAGTCAGAAGAGATAGAAATGTCACTACAGGCACTCTCAAATTCATCAGATGAGTTATCAGTAAAATAATTAGAACTAATAGACATATTACAATTAATAACAATAATTTAAAAAAAAGGGCGAAACAAATATTAATACAAATAAAAATAAAAAAAATAAATAAATGAATATACTACTTAATATATAATTTATAAACAATAAAACGCGATGGGTATAAACTAAACTATCCAAACAAACCAAAAAATAACAAAAGCAAAATAACCACCAGCGAGCGTTGGCAAAACAATAATGGCATTATGAAAATGGCAATGCACATGAACTCACTTGCAAGTATATAAAAAAACAATACAATAAAACTAAAGTAACAATTTCAATATATATAACATTTCGACTAAAAAGGCTTGAATCTATAGCCACAAAAAAAGCATTAAAATTTTAGAACGAAACGTCTCCTTTGACAGAAATCAAAATTGACGATTTCAGCGGACACAAAAATATATTTTGGTTAAAATACCTTACAAAAAATTTTAGAAATCGAATGGAAAGTTACTTAAAGTGGAGGTAAATAAAATTGAATATTAGAAATACAGAGGTACCCCACAAATAGTGTTAAATCATAATATTAACGTAAAGAACTTCAAAGAAAAGAAAAAAACAAAATAGCCACAGCAAATGTTGATCCATATTACTTAGCTGTTTGTCGTGGATGGGAAACTGTCCTGGAGTTTTTGAAAAGCACCCAACTCCGTGATTTTCCTTTTGGTTTTGTCCGGTAACATTACAACTATGGTGCCGTCAGATGACCAACAATTTTTTATGCCGAAATGCTTACGTGCTGCCACAAATATGTTCTGTCTTGACTTAGTCAGAAACTCCGACATGGAAATTCTCGATCCTTTTAACATTGTCTTGGCCTTCCACACGTCAGATTTACTCTTATAAGTAGCAAAGCGAACTAACACTGGACGAGTACGCTCTTTTTTGGCTGTCCCTAGTCGATGACAGGCCTCTATGTCCTCTGGTCGAGCTTGCATCAACTTCATCTTACTGCTCAACACCTCGTGCACCTTAGCAGCAACATTCTCTTTTGAGTCTTCTGGCAAGCCATGGAGTAACAAAACCTTACGCCTAGAGTGAGTTTCAAGTTGATCAATACTTGTATTGAGTAGATCCAACTGCATTTTAAGAGTCCTGACCGCATTAACTACAAAAGTTTTAAACTGCTGGTAGTCTGCAGATAAAGCCTTCACAGTTTGTAGCTGGGTACCAGGAATAGCCATAACGGTGTGCTGATGAAGTGCCTTTTCAAAGTCCTCCATACGGGAGTGGAAAAATGAAGTGATGTTCTGAAGAGACTCATTGACATCAACGGTATCCATGATCAGCGAACTAGTTTTACAAGACCTGCAGGCGACGTGATGTGAAGTGCGTGATGTGATTCCTGATTGTAGTTGATCAAGAGATGTGCGTTTGAAAATTTGTTGTAGCCAGCACTCACTGGTATATATACTAATACATTCAAATAAATTTAGAACTGTAAGTACACTTAAATTAATTAAATGAATTAAATTATACAGAGCAGTTTTTAAGACGTCTTATTCTTTCAAAGTACCCGCGATTTTTCATATATATAATAATAATAATAATTTATTTCCAATCACAATGGTATTCTTAGATTAGTTAATGAATATCTTAATGAGAACATGAATGAATGGTCTATTACCATTGTGAGTGAGCGGAACCTGTACTAGGATATCCTGTGTTACAGTATTCCGATCCCTCACTCTCAGACTCAAATTACAAAGTGAACACTGTGTGGAGAATAAGTTACGTAGAACAATATAAAATATAAGGAAATAAAGAGAAAAAGAAGATAACAATATATATAACAAAATTGTGGCAAATAAAGCAGTACGTAAAAAACTTCATGCAAACGGAGATTGACATGTTTGTGTGGATGTGGGTGCGCTCGCGCTTGTGTGTGTGTGTGTGTGTGTGTGTTTGTGTGAGTGGTGTGTATATGTGTGCGTGCGTGAGTGATGTGTGCTTGTGTGTATGTGTATAAATTTGATTATTTTAGTTATTATAAATTATAAATTACTAACATTGTATTAATTTATTTTATTTTATTTTATAAATAAAATCTATATGATTTTATAAAATAAAATCAAAACTCGTAACTTGCAATAAAGTTATTGAACTTTCAACGATATAGCGACAGGGTAAAGTTTAAATCATATTAACATCCAGAATTTGTTACATCTTTTTAAATTAGAAACTATGAGCAATCATTGTCAAGATTTCATAGTGTTTATCATTTTGTTTTGTGTGCGGTTTGGCTAATCGGTTCCGATTGTAATCAAGGCAATTTCCATAGTTTTTTTTTCTTCCGTGGTGATAACTCTGTGCGGACAAAAGAAATACTAGTCCTATGCAAAACGCCGAAGCGGGGGTGGAGGTCATCGGGGAGGACGCCTGAACTTACTACCTAATACAGATCTAAACGTTTATAATATTTTTTTAAGTCTTGAAACAAAAGTTGTTGTTCATGATGTTAATAACCCTGAGAGGTTATAAGCATTTTACAAATAACCCTGTATAATATACAGGTGTCCTTTCTTGTCATTTCATTAATCTATGAAATTTAAGTCATGAAAGAAAATTTTAAAATCTTTATTAACTTTACATATTGCGTAAAGATAATACAAAACAACACAATAACTCAAGGATCACTTGCACCAAGAAACAAAAAGCATTCACCATTCGGCTTTCGAAATGGCAAACATGAAATATCGATTCGGTTAACTGACATGAGCAATGACCGGACACCGGACGCGGAGCGCATTCGTCACTGCGCTATTGTGCCGCCCGGTATTGCCGCCGGACTAACTTACCCCACTTTAAGGGGCACACTTACCCCAAGAAATGTACTTGGGCCAACTTACCCCAAGTAATAATACATGTACCTGTAATTTCACCAGCACCCTTACCCTTCAAACCGGAACGCAGTAAAGCTGACATTACTGCTTGGCAGCAGAAATAGGTAAGCTGGCTGTACTACCCTGGACGAACTCTTTCACAAGGAGTTCTACTACTACGCGATTTACTTCGTAGGCTAAATTCGAAAACCTCGTAATTTTGTTTTTGAACAAAATTACGAGGTTTTTGACTATTCAAATGCAATATCGGGTATCGGGTTAAGGCACAATCGTAGATTGTCATATAAATATATCTAGTAAGTCTGTTCTTTGTGTCTATTTAAAAGTTCACAATAATTGAGGTACGAAATTTACGAATTAGCTGAAAACTTGCAAATTAATTTGGGGCAAATTGATCCCAAGTAAAAACATATAATTTGCTTCGTTTGCAAATGAAGGCAGCGAGTATGTAAAATTCGTAAGCTTCTAAACATAATTACGATTTGTTTTTTAACTTGCAAGCTGCTTCATTTCAAAACATCAATACAGTATATATTATTATCATCATTAGTCCCGTGCGGCCCTTAAAAAAATTGGGGCAAGTTAGCATTTTCAATTTCCAAATCTCGGGGCGACTTCACGATGGCAGGTTGCGTCACAATGAGCTCTTCCCCCGTGGTATAGGGTCCGAAATGTCATAACAATAAACTTAAAGCAGGTAGACGTCGGTTTATAGCGTCTGCAATGGGGTAATGCATGTAGCATTTGTTGAAGTTGTGTAATAAAAAGATACAGTGGGAGCACTTGACTGCAAAGGTTTTCTTGTTACAGTGGAACTTTAACATTTTATCAACGCCGAAACATCGCATTCAATAATAAAATGACACATGGATTCGAACCAAGGAGAAATATGTAAATACATCAAACATTAGAACAGTATCTTGTAGTCACATACATTGTATTGTTTATTTATGGTATCAAATAACCTTAGCCCAATTCCTTGATATGGCACTTGTTAGTTAGTGCCTAGATTACGAAGACTTTCTAGAAAAGCGACCTATCGCTGTGTCTATGCAAACCGTCAATTTATTTTCATCTCTTTTTTTTAATAATATCAAGTGACGGGACGCATAAGTCGTTTTTTGCTTTTACCAGCACCCTTGGGGACCCAGAACACCTACACCAGAATCAATTCAGAAAAGTTGATTTCCCAAATTGGTCCTACTGGGAATCGAATCGTGCTAGTGCCCATAGTGCTAACCGCTAGTTTTCCGATAGCGTCGAATTAATTAAATGTATATTGAACCGTTTTGTTATCTTCCCTTTCACAAATTGACATTCCTTTGGATTCAAAACAGGAACACAGTGATGCTGACATTACTGCTTGGCGGCAGAAATAGGTAGGGTGGTAGTACGTCCCTAGACGAACGCTTTCACAAGTAGCTCTACTGTAACTTACCATCAGGCGCACGACTTGTTTAGTCCCATCACTAGATAGCATAAAAAAAAGATATATTTAAGTAAAAAAGCCAAAAAATGGTATTTTGACTTACAACAATTAACAATTATTTGCAATGTCAATTTCTTTAAACTTATAACTGCGCTATAATACATTTTTTGCAAGACAAAAATGTTATTAATATCGGCGCCGTTACACGAAAGCATATTATGGAATTGATGAAAGAATAAATAGTTCTGAAAACAAAATCACTTAATTAGTCCCAGCAATAAAATATTAATATTAAATTAATTTGAAAACAATTAGGAATAGACTAATTGCGGTGTAAACTACGCCCGTGCCTGACTAGCATAGCGTGTCTAGGCAGACACGGTCGTGTATCTTTCGCGTGTACGAACTGTCAAATAAATGAAACCGCTTTGATAAACGTCGTCGAATGAATACAATAAACGGTGTCATGCGATGTGAGCACGTACCTCGTAAAATATTAAAAAAATTAACCCGGGAACGTGAAGTTTTTACGAGCGCGACCATATTTTTAAATTTTATCAACAGATGCATCGTGTTACTGTTATAAAAAATTATGTCGAAACAAATTATTTAATTACACGTGCTGGTCGTAAAGCCGGTTGTTGGTTTTATGAAGTTTGGACAACTCTCATGGCTTAGTGCTTT